TTCTATTTATTTTTCTAAAGTTATTTACCCTTTTTTGATAGAAACTTCTGTTCTTTACAGCTATTTTCTCAATCCATCTGGATTTGCTTGTCAAGCTTGGCTTCCCAAATGACGTAAAAAATGGCAGAAAAAGAGCTGCAAATGAAAAAAAACGTACCGCAGATAAGGGTCGGAGTCTGAGAATGGGAGTTCGAAACTGGGTGAGGGAGTCGGACCTGGAGTACTGGCCGCACTCTAGGTACCGGCTCCCATCTCCAGGCCTAGTCCTCAACCCCAGGTATCGGCCCTCACCCCAGGCCTGCATTCCTTCCCTCAGTCCCGATCCCCAACCTCAGGACTAGCCCCATCCCCAGGCACGGATCCTCGCCATCAGGCCTGGACTTCCACTCTCAGGCGCTGATCTCCACGTCCAGACTTAGACCTTCCACGCTGAGCACAGGCTCGTACTATCAGGACTGGACCCCACCCCAGATGCCGACCCCTGCCAGACACGGGCCCCACCCCACGTCCTGGTCTCCACCCCCAATCCTGGACCCCGCGCCCCTAGACACTTGCTTCACCCCAGTCCTCTCTACCCCAGGGCTAAGGCCCACAGGTCCTGACCTCGGCCCCAAACCGGATCCCCACCCTCAGGTTTTATTTAATTTTTTTTTATTCCGAGTCAAGAAATGCTCTTTTATTCCTAATATTAACTTTTGTTTATTCAACTTTAATTATTTATATTTTATTTATTTCTCCTCGAGAATTGCTCGTTCATTCTTAATTTTATTTTTAATCCGCGATTTTTATTTTTTTAATTTTTGTTTATCTCCGTTTTATTTACTTTGGCCGAATAATGCTCCTTCATCACTGATTTTATTTTTAATTTGTAGCTTCTGTTTTTATTTAGTAAATTTTAATGAATTTGACTCGGGAAATACTTTTTTGTCCTTAAGTTTATTTTCAATTTGTAATTTTTGTTTTCTAAGCTTTTATTACTTTTGTTTTATTTACTTCGACTGGAGGAATGCCCCTTCATTTTTACTTCACTTTTAGTTTGTGGCTTTTATTTTTTAACTTTTAGCTACTTTAATTTTATTTATTTTGACTCAAAAATGAAGTAAAATAGAAATCAATTGCCAAGTTCGCACACAGCCAAAAATAAACAAATCAAAAATAAAATAAGGTAAAATAAATTACAACAAAAAATAAATTAACACAAAATCGAATAAAACAACGTAAAATAAAGTACAACAAAATAAAAGTCAGATACCACGTCCGCGCGCAACCAAAAATAAATCAAAATAAAACGAAATAGAATAGATTAAATACAAATTGATGGGATAAAATAAGACAACAATAAAGTAAAATAAAACTGTATTAAATAGAATGAAGTTAAGTAGAATAAGTAGAATAAAACAAAATAAAAATAAGATAAATATTAAATAAAACAGAACTGAACAAATCAGAAAAAAAATGAAACAAAGTGAAACAAGTGTGGGATAGAAAGCTTGCGTACAGACAAAAGTAAGAAAAATTAAATTAAATTAAAAGAATGGAACAAAATAATTAAAATGAATAATAACAAAACAAAGTAAAATAAAATAAAACAAAATCAAATAAAATAAAACAAAATAAAAGTCACATCCCTCTTCGACCAGAAATGAAATCAAATGGTATAAAAAAAATAAAATAACTCAAATATGCCAAATTCAGCTCCTAAGTGAACGTATTACTCACACATGAAGTATGTAAAAATTTTTGATGGATTTTAAAATCAGTCCCAATTCTTGGAAGTCTATATCCATTTTCATGCTTTCTGTCGTGGTTGCTATGGAATCAGCTGAACGCTATGAGTCAGACCTGTTAGGGACACATTTATCTGCACCTTTTCTTGTTAGTCTATCACGTTATTCATTATTTTAATATTTGCCTGATTTGTTCATTCCCAGAATCCTTCCACGTTTTATTCCCAGAGAGTGATGGAAGTTGCCGGAGTAGCGCTCTGCCTATATCAATAACCTGCTGGCGAGAGTGTCGATAGCTCTCAATGATGCTGATGATCGAATTGACTGTGAAAATGGTAGAAACCAGATTTGAACGTACCGGGCTTGCCGGTGCGATCATATGTTTTTGCACTAAACTCGCAGATCGCTAATAGCAGGGAGGGATGATCCCTGCGTTGTAACCTAACACTTGGGTTCATACTGGCCGCGCTTTAGCCCCTTCCGGCATGCAGGAGGAAGGGCGTTGGTTGGGATGAAGGTGGTGCATTATTGAGCGGCACGAACCTCCAGGTACATGATTACCAATTTTTTGCGTGAAGCCCGGTCGTTTTCCGGTAAATGCTTGCTTTTCGGAAAAATAAAAAATGCAGATCTCCAGTTCACTAAAAAGTGAAAATGTCACTAGAGCGGCCGTTTATCAAAAAATCCAAGTGTGCAAATGAACTGAATGTTTATTCACATATTTGGATGAGGGCGGTAGTTCGCTGCAAAACATACTCGCTTCTGATTTTTCGCTAAAGTTGAATATTTCTCATGCCCACCTGCAGAGAATTTTAATTCCAAGCAGAATTAAGACCGCACTTGAAAGTAAAATATCCTAGCGAATTTTCAGCTTCGCACCTTATTCGGTAAGTGAAATATATCTGAAGTGCCCTAAGTCATGGTGCTAGTGCAACTCGGTACTTATTTTAGGTATGCGATTTCTCATATGGGCGTCAAACATGCTGACAAAATTTCAGTTGCTGTTTCCCGACAAGTTTTCGAGTTAGCACAGCACCAAGTTGCAAACTTTCATATGACCGTACGCGCTATACAAGCGTGCACGACAGCTGAATTTGAAATCTCTAGCTCTTGAATGAACAGAGAAAATCCCCGTAAAGTTTCAGCTTTGTACCTCGCCTGATTCGCGAAATCGCTCTCTGCCAAAGAAATATGCATATTTTTTTCGGGGATCTGTACGCGGGGACTAGGTGCGCATGAGTAAAAGTTTTAAAACTGGAGAATGACGCACGAGGTAGGAACGTATATCCAAAATTTCAGCCTCATAACTTTCCGGATCGCTGAGATGAAAGTGCGTGACAAAGTTCACTCGCTTCCGAACACACACACACAGACGACCTCTCAACAGCGCTGCTATAGCCCTGCACAGCAAAATTTCATAAAAACTAGAAGAATATAACTTTTTTGGCCAAATGCGATAAAATTTTGTTGTGAAACGGGAAATTTTAATGGTGCCAGTAACTTATATGAACGGAATATTCCAATGAATTAGATTCTCTGTGACACTCTTACTCTTTTGCTAGGCATGGATGATGATGAGACAAAGCAAGAAAGAAAAAGTGGAGAGCAGGAAAGTTCTGACCGAAATGCTGCTGCAGAACAATTTTCTCTTTATGCTCTCGGTGATGAATTGGTTGAAAAGCTGAAACTGTTGAACTATGAGGAAAAATATGCAAATCTTGCAGCTAGTCATAGGACTGTTTCCAGGTCCATTGTGTTTTTTTCCGAAAGATAGGATTATGAAGTTACTCGCATAGTGTTAGAAAATGAGGCTCGAGTTTACACTAATCATTTTGTTGAACTGAAGCCGCATTTTTAAATGAAAAAATGTTTTAGTAAATAATGGTATTTGCGTAGTCAAGCTTGCTTTGTGAAAATAGAATGACGGATGCTGGATTTGTAGAGATTACTTCGTGCGGAGTACAAACGTTGGAGAGCAGTTCTTCATATTTACAACACTTGCTGCCTGGCTCATCCAGAAAGCAGTTGATCCTGCTTTTGCATTTCCTCAAGAGGTACCGCGATTTCAATCTTACTGCTACCACACTTAACTGAGGACTTACCGTCACTCCAGATCAGGTCTCACCATGCAGTTCTAGCTGTTCTCAAGGTGAAAGATCGCACTGAGCAATTACTATAATTCAACTCTGCTCGACAGGTACAGTTAAGTTTCGAGCAATGTAAAATTAGCGTAATCAGTCGCATGGAAATGGTAAACATGCCGAGCGGCGTAATTTTACGCGCATTAATCGAAGAGTTCAAAATACCAAAATAATGACAGATACTAGTGCGCAGCACACACCTGTTGCAACAGTTTTTCTAAGTGTGTTGATGTTGTTGAGGCATCTTGCAAAAGTGACAAAGTCGAGATCTTTTGGTTACAAAAGTATGGAGTAAGAACAGCAGTTGAGCTGTATTGTTAAGGATTCATATGAGAAAGAATAAATCTTAGGGGGGAGCGCAGATTTAGAACTGCTGGTTCTCAGAAATGAAAATAATATGCATGTTGAAATTGTTTAGTTC